TGACTTTGCAAAGCATCTTTTGTCATTTTCAAATGCTCTGCCCATTACCGATACAAGACTAGTAGGCTTATAAGTACCTGGACAATTGTTATCACCTTCCTTAAAAACAGGAGTATCAATACCCAACTTCCAATTATCTGGAATCGCCCCACTACTCAAAAATCTTCATCAGTAAAAACGGAAGAAAAATTAACAATTAGTAACACAGCCATCTCATAATCATCAGATAAGAGCCTTCTTTTATCATTCCTGGGACCAAACAGAGGTTATACTTGGCAGTGTAATCTAATAAAGGTGTTTTATTAATTTTAAACAGTACATTTCCTTATAATTTGACAGTTAGTTACAATCTTATATAAGTTATAAAAACCCACCAGTGCAGAAATAAATGTTGTAAGTCCAAGCAGGTTTTCAAGATGTAGCTGCATGAACAGTGTAACAACAAGCTACATCAAAGTTCTTTTAATATTAAAATTAAGTTCTACTTCCATTTTTTACTTTGTCCAGCAAAACTTAATTTAAGAAATCTTGAAGAAACAGTGTTTAATTTTTTAATTATAGTAAATACTGATCTAACTATACAAGAGCAGATGTAATAACATTTTAACAGTATTAAGTTTTTCACATTTCTTTGATGTTATCACATTCTATTTTTCTGTATTTGGAATGTAGTCCACATGAATGTTAACCTAAACAATTAAAAGCACAAATCATGCCACAAACCTAATATCATCTCACTTTAAAGCAGAATGAACATTTTATTACAGGTTTCATTAGTTGCAAATAAATAATAAAAAAACACACCAAAAAAGCATATTTATTAAACCTACATGCAAGCAAACAACTAATTAAATGATTATACACATTTCATAATAATTAGGCCAAGTATAAAATAAACAACTCATATTTAGTGTTCCTACCCACTTCCATTTTTTGCAGCCACTTTTTTCCTTTTTTGAATTATCATTTATTGACCATACAAAATAACAAAGAAGACTTCTGAATAAAAAAAATTAGATAAACACAGTTGATTCATTTTGGCCTTTATCTTTATTTGTCATATATTCTGTATTGTTTTGATGAAAAAATGAAACAAAAGACTTCTGTTTGACATAGACTCTTTGAAAACATGCAACAATCATGAAAATAAAATGCAAACTTTCTTTCAAAGAGTAATTTAAAAAAAAAGAAAAAAAAGGATCTCCTCCTTCCTTTTTAAAACTCTGGAGACTAAACATTTTTGTTTTTTTTAACCTGGCTTTAGGTTCTTCACTTTTTAAAATCTTTAATATTCTACAGAATAACAGATACATACTTTTCACATTAACCAGATTTATAGCAATAATTGTCTAACTAAGGAATACTTAGTTCACAACACTATTATAGAAATGAACCTGACTACAAAAGATAATTATATGCAAGATAGTATTGAAAAATGAGATGACAAATAAAAGTTTGTCTTGTACAAGTCTCATCTTTCAGTGAGTGGCAATATATAAACTTTTATATTTAAAGTATATTTAGTTTAAAAGACTACAATAGAAAATTATCCCTGTGGGTGTTGAGAATAAGTTAGTTCATTAGATAAAAGGCAGGTTAGAGGAGAAGAAACGAAAAGGGTTGTAATAAATGAAGTTCAGTAAAAGTAAATTGTAGATGCAAGTGGATTACTTCAGGGGTTTTTGCTGGGTCCCTTACTCTTTTTATATACATTAATGATATTGACCACTTTGTTAATAATATTACAAATTGTGTGTATAGTTAGCTGTAAGAAATATGATGTTTTACAATGGGATATAGATAACTTAGCAAATAAATGGTATTTACATTTGATAAACACAAGGTAATGCATGTAGGCTACCTTAATTTCAATAATAATTACCAACTTGATTAAAATCAACTTAATCATGCTATGAAAGAAAAGATTTTTGGTAGTTTGATTAATCAGTCTTTTAAGCCTTCCAGGCAAAGTGGGTTTGTATACAGGTATACTGAATACAAGTCAAAGGAAGTTATTGTTTTTTTTACTATATATATATGTGTGTGTGTGTGTGTGTGTGTGTGTGTGTGTGTGTGTGTGTGTGTGTGTGTGTGTG